ACGTTAAAGTTAGTGAGTCCATACAAACCTAAATAGCGAACTGTTCTCACGTCATGTACCGTGCAGTGAAAGTCAAAAACACATAAACGAAGGTCTACATTTCACTCTCTTCATATTAAACTGGTTAAATGTAAATTAATTTAATTGTACCCTGCGATACATGAACAGTGTTGATCCGGGATGTTATCTGCGATCGTGACTACCGTAACATGAGGCTTCTCCCGCTTACATTGTGATCTGTAAACCCTCGCTTCCAAATTAATACCCACAATATTCATTTTAAAATCTTTTATATATCCCTCCATGGCATATTTAAGTCTGGTGGTCCTTCTGTGTCCAAAATGTATCAAAAAGATATAGGGTTTTCACACAGACAGCTGTCATTGTAAGACAGTGAGCAACTCCGTTTGTTTGTCCGAGTTCGCAAAAGTAACTAAGGGGGGCGGGACTTACCGATAGGTCAATTCAGGCAAAACTACAAAACTGCTCTGCTCCCTACATAGACAGCAGCCTTCAAAAGCCCAAAGTATACTTGGGTTTTTACTAGGGGTATAACGGTACACGTATTCATACCAAAATCTTTCGGTTCGGTATGCATGTGTACCAAATAAATACAGCGAGTAAATACTGCTGAGTGAAACTTTACTGGAAACTTACGGTTTTATAGATTGTTACTTTTGATAAGAAACTAAAGTCTCCTCTTTCAAATTATGTCAATTTGTTTCAGGAAATTCAAACAATAAATGCAGTTTTGGCGCTCTTTGAGGCTGTTTACACCTGGTCACTTCATGCATTTTGTCTGATCGGATAGCTATCCAATCGTGAAAAGGCCAGGTGTAAATGGCCTCCGAAACGTAAGAAAGTAATACGCAGACGGTCAACACACAATCATCTTCATCAGTGTCTGCAACTTGTTAGTTCGCAAGAGAACTGAAGTCTAGAGAAGAGCATTTCAAGAAATATTAGACTATATGCCCTATTATTATTATTATTATACTATATTACATTTTACTTTACCTGTTAGTGATGTCTTAAAGTATGTTTAAATAAATTTGTTACGAAGCAAGTTATGACAGCCACTGTGTAAATTAATATATTTCAACAACAAATAGTAATTTGATTTAGAAATTAAAATCTGTATTACGTGCAATTCACACGTCTGCATACAGTTATTTAAGTTGAGTGTTGATTACTATATTTAAAAATAAATAGTAATTGAATTTAAGTTTGGGCTCTGTTGTTAATTGTAACTTTATAGTAATGTAAAAGGGCTCCCTATTAGTTTAGAGCACAAGCTGAGGTAGATTTTTATCCCTAAGAAAATTTTTATTACAATTGAATTTATTTTTTATAAAGAGCAATTTGTTCCGTAAACCACTGTTTAATTAAAAAAAAGCAATTTTATGTTTAGTTTTTTCACCCTGCTGTACCGAAACTAAGTAAATAGTGATGTCAAAACCGAGGTACGTACCTTCATGTTTGTGTATCGTTACACCCCTAGATTTTATACATATACTAGGATATGCGAACAGTGGTTGTGACGGAAATTTCATCATTAGCATAATACACTCACAGCCTGGTTTTTCTAAAGGCCAAGGTATTAATTTTCCACATTGCGCTTGGAACAGATATTGACCAAATCATACCAGAAAACAGCACGTTCAGAGACTAATTTAAAATGAATTTTGGATAGAAATCAAATCATTCAGATGTAATATCATGGTATTCTCGCATAAAAGAAATGAATCCAATAAAAGCTATACACACACACCTGTCATTAATAACTACTGAAGTATAGTAGAGATTGACAGACACAAACATTCTTGACAATGCCCATGCCCCTGAATGCAAACGGACACGGTTCACTGTCAGGCCACAGTACAGCAGGTTAAAAGGCATGTTATCAGCGTTCCGGTTTATGCAATGCAATATATACACCTTAACTGACTCCAATTCTCCACAGTGAGGGGAGCCGGCAAGCTTGAAGCGCAGTCTGCCGCATGGCTATTACGAACTCCATCACAAAGCTGACCTCTGGTAAGGACTGGGTGTACAGACTATTCCACTGCACTCCAGAACAACATGATTCATTCTCTACGCTATCATTACTGCAATAGAGAAAATGAGAGACAGAGACAGATAGCGGAAGGAGAACGAGAAAAGCTGAGAGGGAAGAGAGAATATGAAGACGTGACCTCCCCATTTAAGCTGATATTCAGGTAATGGAGGAGAAAGGTAAGAGGAGAGGAGGAGGAATATCAGAGAAAGTGAAAGAGAGGGAGACAAGACAATGAAAGGAAACCGAATCATGCATGTCGGTTGGGTTTCGGAGGTTACCGGACATTGATAGGGGGCCAGTGAAGGGAATGGGGACCCTCATTCACTCCACACAGATACACATCCTGATAATTCCCTCAACAACGCACAAACACATATAGGCTGAATCCCAATTCTCACACTTGCACCAAGTACAAATACATACTATCATTCAAAAGTTCGAGGTCAGTAAGGTTTGTTTCCTTTTTTTTTATTTTTATAAATTTGTATTTTTATTCAGCAAGGATGCATTAAATTGACCAAAAGCGACAGTAAATACATTTATAATGTTACAAATGATTTTTATTTTAAATAAATGCATCAAAGAATCCTGGGTAAAAAGTTTTTTTAAACATTGAAAATAATAAGGAGTGTTTCTTGAGCAGCAAGTCAGCACATTAGAATGATTTCATAAGGATCATGTGACCCTGAAGACTGGAGTAATGATGCTGAAAATTCAAGCTTTGACATTACAGGAAATAATTACATTTTAAAATGTATATTTTAAAAAGTTATTTTAAATTGTAGTTATTTTTTACTGTAATTTTTGATCAAATAAATGCAGCCTTGGTGAGCATAAGAGACTTCTTTCAAAAAACATCTTATCTTAAAAAAATAAATAAATAAATCTTACTGACCAAAATCTTAAAAGGGTTGGATAAACCAAACTAATGTGGTAAATTATGTCCTCAAATATGAAGTACTGAAACATACTACAATGACGTGCACATTGCGTACCAATATAGCACCAGAAAACCAAGAATTTTGCATATTGTAAGGGGTTGTGAAAAAAAAAAGTTCCAAAAATCCTATCCAAATTGGTACACCATTGTACTAACCCTCATCTAACAGATGTGACTTGGCTGATGTGGGCTTTTCATTGGTCTATATAGATACAGATATACGGAGATCAAAGTAGCTGTAAATATTCCTACAATGTAATAACAAATGAGATACACAACAACCAAAATTACACGAAAATAAATATTTACATAATATTTGCAAGCAGGCATATATGCAGTAATCCAAAAAGGGGCTGATATTATATATTGTAAGTAATATGAATAATAAGCGATTTGGGATTGAGCCTTTGATTAAGCACACTTTCACAGTTCTTTTATAATCATGACTGAACATAACAGGATCATTAAGCAAACAAACTTGACCCAATTCTCCAGTTCTCAGCGTGGCTTAACTTGTGCTATTTAAGTATTACATCAGCTGGTTTTCTTTTATTCAAGGAATGAATCAGCAGTTGGAAGGGAGGGAAGGGGGAAGAAACAGAATCACTCTAACTGCAGTACTAAACTGGCTAATCATCCCAGTGTGAGGTAAACAAATGTTCTTGCATAAACAAACTGCATATTAAATTAAACAAAAGCAAGCTAAGCGTTCAACAAAGGGTGAAATCATTGTAGGGAAGTTGTACTCACAATTGTATCTTTAAAAACAGATCTTTTTGACTGCTTTTTGCCTTTGTTCTTTTTCCATTCACTTTCATCCTTGAGAACTCCCTGATCTAAATGAGTTGTTATCCGTCAAGAGGAAGCTCAGCTGACCCACTAAGACTTTCCCGCCAAGCCTTGGACTCTCGCAGAGCTAAAATAAAACTCACAATCACACACAAGAATGAGAGGCTGCCCATCACCCCTTATACTGGAATCACCGGCACCCATCCCGCACAGTTCAAATCAGTGACCCACATCAGTTTAAATGTGGGACAGCCACTTTCAGGCACTATGTAAACACTCTCCCTTCCAGCTATTGTATGTGTGATGTATATTTAGCCTGGACAGGGAGGCTAATGAGTGTTATGCTGTGAACTTGCTGAATTTCCACACTGGAGCACATTCTTCGACGCGGAGCAGGGATCAAAAGAGAGGGAGAAAGAAAAATGAGGTAGCTTGTGGCTCTTAGCCAAGGATTACGAAGTTGTAAGCCGGTATGAGCAGGTATTGGTGGCTCATCGCCCAAGCAACCCTGATGACTTCATGCTAAAAGTTTTTCTGACTCATTTGATTAGACAATAAACACAGATCTGTTCGGATAAGTCATTATAAAAATTATAAAAAACTCTTTAATTACATTTACATAATGTATGCAGTGATAGACAGATCATTCTGTAAAAGTCAAGAAATAAAACACCCCAACCAAAAAGCAAATGCAGTGGAGTCTTAAAATGTAAAGGATAAAGTCAAATTGATTCAGGCTTATGCTGTTACAAAAGAAGAAAAATGTGATCCAGTAATCCAACATCAGCAGTGATGTATTTGGAGTTCAGTAAGAGTAGCCAAAGAGGTTAGCACAGCTCACCGCAGCGTGGTTTAAAAGACCAGTGGACGCGGTTAGATGTGGTTAAAAAGTGCACCGTTCAGAAAAACAGCAGCGGGGAAGACATCTATCCAGCACAACAATCCAAATCCAGACATTAGCCGTAACCCTTGGTCTGTGGCAGATGGGAAAAACCATCAAATCCGGGTGTCCAAACATCACAGACCCTGAAGTGCATTCTGCTACTCCACAGGGAGAGTTGAGGTATCGCTGCTGCCCACTGCAAACCAATCAATCTGAAAGTACCTTCATATATTGATCTAAAAAATACATTATGGGCACTTCATTTCTTTGGTCCATCTGTGAGCTCGAGCCCAACAGAACTATAGTACAGGTACCTGCCTGTCACTGACATTTTGATGTTCGGTAGGGTTTGGGTCCTGTTTGGAGGCTTGCTCGGCTTTTCTCCTCTTGCGGACCTGATAAAGATGGTTTTTGGACTTCTGGTGTGCTGGAGAACAGGATAGTTCAAATATTTAAGTCTGTCTTCTTAAAACATTTGAAAATGCATTGGCTTGACCCAAGCAAAAAACTCACCCATCCATTCCAAGTCACCAATGATCACCTTATCGCACAGGTCACACATGTGGTGACTCCTCTTGTTGCAAGACTCCACCCCCTCTGCTCTGATTGGCTGTGCAGACGGCTGCTCTCCCTGAAATGGTTTTAAAAGAAGAGGCGCTATGAGAGGGGTTTGGGGATATAATCTCAAATTATGATGGTTGAATACTATTAAATACATAATAATAAAGCATGGTTATGTGTAAATGACTGGTTACTAGTGGTCCACCGATATATCGGCATCGGAGATAAGTTTTTCTGTTTGGCTGATGTGTTCGAGGCGGGACATTTATTTTGACGGCGCTGAGAACAGCAGCGCATGAGCATGCAACGCTCACATTCTCCCTCCTGATTGTGTCACCGTTTAACAGTTCTGTCTAATACGGATATAAGTCTAACAATCGGATAGAACTGTTAAACAAAGGAATTAAAATCTATACAAAAAATATTATGATTTATGCTTTTATATTATTAGTAATATAAAGGCAAACATTATAATACTTTCTCATTTAGGAGTCAGCAAGCAGCAAATACGCATTTATATCATTTAAACAAATCTTTGAATGTCTAATGAACATTTAATTTCCCAAAACATGCAGACTTAGTCAAATCCAGCTGTGAGATTGTCTGAAGTGTGCATGATCGTGTGACAGTTGAATGTGGACAGGATTTAGTTGTCTTCTAATATGCTTATTTGACATTTTTTTATTCATTTTCAAATGATTTCAAATTTCTTAAATATTAATTAAAATAAAAATGTTTTATATATACACACACATATACACATTATATATATATATATATATATACACAGTGCACAGCATAAACGAGTACACCCCCTCTAAAACTAAAACTTAAATTCAGCAATTACTCTTTACTTAGAAGACATGTTAGGGTTCTTTGGAGATGTAATGTTCCAACAAGCCTGCTTAATCAATTACCAAAGAAGAATACCAAAATTATTCAGCAAAATAAGATTTTCTTATCAAAGTGATAAAATTCTGTGTTGCAAAAATGAGTACAACCTCCTTAAAGTTACTAAATAAAACAAACAAAAGAAAAAAGTGTATAGGTTTAAGGCTATTTTTGATCAACAGGTAAGTATATTGAACCAAAACTTTTAAAGACAAGTAATTTCCCGACAATTAAAAGTGTTATATAGCCCACTGAATCATACTCGGACTTAATGCTGGCAGCAGTGGAACCACTTGAGAGAGAACTGCCAGGTGACTTATTTCTTAGCATAAAAGAGGACAATGGTACAAAAGGATACCAATTACAAAATAGAGACTTCTGGGAATCCATACTCTGGTCTCAAGAGATCAAGTCAATCATTTCGGATCTAACAGTATCCAAAATGTTCTGGTGTTGCTAGAGGAGGAGTACAGAGAGAAGTGCCTGGTTCCCACAGTGACGTTCAGTGGTAGTAAAGATTTTATATAGGGATGTATGAGTGCTGAAGGTGTGAGGGAGTTGTGCTTTATCAAACACTGTCATGAATTCACACACCACTGTGTGAGTGGCTCTAATAAAGTCTGTGTGCTTCATTTATAGAGCTATAATATAGGTTGCGCTTTCTCTTTCCGTTTGCTCCCTTTTTTTAAACGCCGAACTTCAAACTCATCTATACCAAATTGTTTATTCTTGAAGTAAACTTGTGTCTGTTTGGTGATTAAATAAACTGTTTTAGACCGCTGCTCGAGTTGAATGCGATGCGTCCGGAGTGTGTGTGATACCGGTGAGTTCTCCTAGACTATATATA